TAAAAAGACGTGGTTTGTAAGCTACATTTATATTTTACACACTGATATTATGGCTTTTTTAAAAGGAGACGAGTTCCTCTTCTTAGCTCTATCATGTGAGTCCTGCATGATTATCTATATGTAAGAGATGTACAGCCTTTCTTAGCGAAAAGAGCCAAATATTTTTTTTTTACAAAGTGATCATTATTAAGAACGTGTAAAAAGTGCGAAAATCATGCTTATAATTCTTTCAAAATAAATTATTATTATAAAACTAGTTTATCAATTAAAGCTACAAAACAAAGTAAATAAAAAAATAATGCATATTATTTAAATAATGTTCTTTTCTAGTGATGAAATTACTTTTAAATAATGTGGACACGAGTAAAGAAATTCGGTTTTGGGGTCAAAGGTCAGCAGACAAGGTTGCTTGAAAGGTCATGACGTAGTTTCCGTCCCAGTATGCATTGTTATGATGTCCGCCATTAGTCACTGGTCTAAACATTTAGAATAGAAGGGAACCTTGTTTTATGAATATTTATTCGATTTTCACTCACAGATGTTTCAAAATGTGAGGGCTTAAAAGAAAATCGGCAATATTTTCAGTTTTAAAGTGTTGACTGGTATGGGGGTGAGTTAGTTCGATTTATATACCTTATTTCCTGGAATCATTCGACGTTTTGCTTTTGCTGTTTTTCTGGTATATACAAGAGCAAGCATGGCGAGTATAAAACAAAACGATGTTCAAATAACTAACAATAGTATAAATCCAGATATTGTTAAAGGCCAGCCGCTGAATTTAAACCAGACGAAGACGGATTCTGCAAATATTACAAATGAAAATGACCGGAATTCGAATCTTAGTCCCTCGAAATCTGCTGATCCAGCTCGAAAGAAAACCTTCAAAATAATCAGCGTTAAAAAAGGAGGGAGTGGCAGTGGAGATCTACCAGGGGATAATGATGGAGATAGTATTGATGGGTTAGATGAAAGCCAAACAGAAGATCTTAGTTCAGAATTTTATGATAGTTCCAAGGCTACTGATTTAGACATGGATCTACCAGATAGCATGATGCCGCTCACTCCCGATGAAGTGACTAGTACCACTACTATTGTTGTGAAGCAAAAACCTGATAGGGATTCTCAATCACGTTTTAAGGTAGTAAAAATTGAAACAAAGGAGCCTTTCAGACGTGGCAAGTGGGTTTGTTATGATTACTTGGATTCAACACCTGCATCTGTAGTGACATTAGAGAAAAACGGCTCAAAAATGACTGAAGATAGTATTCTCCATTCTGCCCTCAGTGGAAACCTTAGTTCATCTAGTTCTGTTCATTATGTCCAAGATGTAAATGATTCTTCCAGTAATATATATGTTACGCCTTTTGCACCTATTAGTCCCATTGGGGCTGATGGACAACACCTTTTCTCTGATGTATTCGTACCCCTCCCACTTGCTCCACCAGCTAGTCAAGTATTAAACCCAGGACTTTCATCTGCTGATGCTACACCATTTATTGCTCAGCAGGTCTTTTTGTCAATGGCAGGTGTGCCCTCATCCAGCACCTCATTCTACAGTGTTGCCCAACCAGGTCAAACAACTATAATTCAGAGTCTGCCACCCACTAATGTATTTCCATATGCTCAGAATGGCCCTTCTGCCAGTTTGTTTCAGAATGGTGTTGCAGGTCAATCAAATGTACTTGTGAATTTACCTCCAGATCCAATTATTGCTACTGCCAGTGTAATTCCTGCAGTTATACCACCCATGCAGCCGATTTCCGTAGCAGTAGATGTTACTGCAGTGAATCAAGATCATGGTCCAGGATATGTTATAGTTGGTGGAATACCAGTCCCACGTTCACAGAGCCAAACACAAATATCTGGTGTTCCTGTCTTGTCACAGGTTTTACAACCTGTAATTGAAAATGGTCAAAGTTTACCCGCTGTGGGTATTTCTAATGCAACCAATGTAACATACAGTAGTGCTGAAAGTGCCTCTGCATTTTCTGGTTTAGAGGTGGATCAGATGGGTCCAGGTATGGATGAGAGCACAGGAAGTATTAAAACCTTACAAGGTGATCCAGAAGGCGATCCGCCCCAAGGTCTAGAGGAAGCAGTGGAGGCCATACACACTGGACTCGAAGGGAATGATGATGACGCTGATGAGAGGTATGTTAATTAACTTTCAATTTGTTATATTTTATGTTATGCTTTAAATTTTTATTCCTTTCTCCAGCAATCACAAGATTTGCTTTATTGATTATATTTATTTTAATTATCGTTTAAAATAATTTTCTTTCCATATAAGAACGTCCATCCCTAGAATAAAATTATTTTGGTTTGGTGCATAAACGGATATATGAACCGTCCACATCAAGATAATTCTAGTTTTCTGAATCAACAGACAAAATTCACTAAATCTGGAAATTAATACATAACCAATTTGTACTATTGTACAAAGGAATGCTGTTCAAACTGAAGTTTGTTCAGACAGAGATTCATTTGAATGGAAGTAAAATAGCAAATCTTATTAAAAAAGCAGGCCATAAATTTTATATTAGAGTTGTTTTCTTTTTATTTTTCATTAATTCTGAAATAATCAAATTATTTTTTTTTAATTTAAAAAAAAAAAAATCCCTTTGAACAAATCTTAATTGAAAAAATTTAATTTCCAAAAAACTTCTGTTTGAACAAACTTCCGCTAAGAAACCATTCTTCGTACATGTTTTGTACAACTTTCCAGTAACCACAATGCTGATCAATATTACTGATTTTTATCTTATAATGACATAAAGGGCCTCACTAAAATCAGTATAAAGGTCACAGGCAAGAGAAAGCTTACAGAGCAGTGCATTTTAGAACAATGATCTAAGAAAATTTATCCATTGGTGAAAAATTGTATTTCATAGGTACAATTTTTTTGTGACTTGAAGATTTTTACAAGTCCATAGATTTCAGATCATAAGGGTTTCATCATTAAATTAAATCAACATTTTTATCGGAATTGGCAGGACAGTTTCAAAACAAATGTCAAATAGTTTTTTCTTCTTAAAATTGCACTTTAACGTGGAATTGGGGCTCATATTTATTCTCCTAAAGAAATATTAATAAATTAGACATTTAGTCCCATTAACTGACCTGATTCTAATACCCATAGATTTTTAGCTAATTAAATAAAACCATTAGATACAATTTAAACTTTAATCAATATAACCAGACTTTTAAATGCAATGTGTACTTTTCATCGTCAATGAATGTAATTATAGGTAGACATTGCCTTTGGGTTCATCATCTTTATTGGATCAAGAAACTGAAATTAGGGATTTTTGCAGACATAAATTAAAAAAAAAATATTGTTAAGAATGCAACACATTTAAACACTTTTAAACATTTTATGCGTTTTTGGAAGTGATATCATATTTTTCGTGGTTTGTTTTTTCGTACACTTACACCTAACCTATAGGTGCCGTAGATAGTGCTATTGCTTAGGCTAAATGAAATTTCAATCATTGGGCAGAAAAATTTATTAGAGATAAATAAATGACGCTTTATATAAATGTGCAACTTTGATATGTTGTATATGGTTTATTTTGAATCTACCTGGCTGTACTTTAGCATTAAAGATTAATTACTTTGATATTATAGCTATTTCTGTTTTGGGAGATATCATAGTATTCATAGCATATCAATTTTTTTTTAAATTAATTTTTTTGTTTAAAGCTAATTTTTCCTTCACAAGTACAACAGCATGTTTATCAAAAAGCCGTTTTAACTACACATTGCATGTTCATTGTCAATGCTAATAGCTATGCAAAAAATGTGAGATCCACCTTTTTATTTTTAAACAAATTAAAAAATGTTGTTTGGATGCCGAAGTCCTTTGACCTATTACAGCATGTGGTATTAAAACAGAAAATATGACCCCCTTGATCCAAATGTTAGAACTCTTGTTAATTTTTTGTTTTGGTTATGGTTATTTAAATAAATATATTTGCTTTGAAAATTATTAATGTTTGTTAATTTTGTAAATGTACACCATTTTTTTTTCTTTAATTCTATTGTTATGTGATGTGATGCATTTTCATATTATGACTTCAGCATTTATTATTTGATTGCCCCAAAAAAAAAAAAAAACCCTTTTAATTCTATTGTTATGTGATGTGATGCATTTTCATATTATGACTTCAGCATTTATTATTTGATTGCCCCAAAAAAAAAAAACCCCAAAAAAACACCCCCCCCCCACCCAATAAATTATAGGATTTACAGGGCTACTACCATTTGTTTGAATAAAAATATTTTCATCAGCAGATTAGAAATTTACAAATAAAGCAAAACATCATTTAGAAGTTGGTATGAAATATATTATAATTCATAGGCAATAATGCAGATTTATCTTCTTTAAAAAGAAGAATGTAACAAGCTTTGTTTTTTCATTGGATAGATTTAGTTGCTGGTAGTTTTATTTTATGCAATAGAGCAATGAAATGCGACTTATGTTGGTGCTAATGGATGATCCATATTATTTCTAAACTGATCAATAATATTTTTTGATAAACCTTTCTTTAATGTGGATACAGCCCATCCTGCTGTTTATAACAATTATGCAGTTATTAAATTGGTTTTGTACAATCCACTTTTTAATATTTTAAATAAATTGTCTTGACAATTCTAAGTAGCTACTGCTAGGCTGTTTTCATCCTGGTTAAAATTATAAGATAACAAAATATCCTGGATATTGTCTGCATTTGCAAAGTCTCATTTCATTGTTAATTTTTACTTAAAGTTTCTGTAACTTTTTTTTCATTCAAAATATTTTGGGCTAGGTGTTTTCTCAAAGCAATTTTTTTAGAATTATACATTTTTTAAAATCTGCTATTGCCATTCTGTTTTGCTCTTAGCTTTGCTCGTCTTCATTTCTAACAGATTTATACAATGTATAAAAGGAGTTATGGAAAGTTATTATTTTAATTATTCAGGAGAGCATCTGCATTTGTGGCTAGGTCAGTTCCTATACGACCAAATGCTTTACCATCCTTTGTGGATTCACGAAACATTGGCTCACCTTCCATTGTTAGGCCAAATGCCCATCTGGGTTCTCGGAACTTGGATTCACCTTTACATATATGGCCCAGCCCTTTACCATCTCACCTTGACTCCAGGAACTTGGACTCGCCTTCTCATCACTGGCCCAATGCCTTGCCTAGTTACTTTGATAATCGAAACCTGGATTCTCCCTGTAATTTTTGCTTTACACCCGTGGGTGGGAGATCACTGTGTTCTTCCCCCGTTCCGCCTTCCTTTATAGAGCACTTTGATTCCATGGCAGCAGGAATGTTTCCACCAACATCCAACTCCTACTTTCCATACATGGACCCCAGCTCTCATGGTTCATACTCCCAGGCCTCAGCATTTGTTCCTCTGCATATGCCCCAACCATCTGCAACCCAGCCGAACCACTCCTCCCCCTGTGTGACTCCCTCACCAAAAGCCATTTCCTATGATTCCAGAGGCATACGGGGTGCCTTGCCTACTGTTAGGATTGATTCAGCTCCTGAGCTTAGACGCTCCTTGTCTCCTCATTCCTTGTCCTCCCCAACCACCCCATATACAACTCCTCCCCGTCCTCAAAGTCTAACCCCCGGTGGAACCGTTTTCAAGAGAGCGACATCCGTAGATGACAACAGGACAGTTGCAGATGGTCATGACAAGATCACCGACTTCCTTGTCTCCACTGTCCTTCCAATTGATGGTCACACTCCTGAGGACGGGTATGTCCGATTGCTTGGTTTTTGCCTTTGATCCCAAACCTTCTCATTTCATAGGCTTGATGCTTGGGTATAATTTGTGCAGTGGTGATTCATTCACTTAATGCACTTCATCTATCATCTTCATTGTAACAATATAATCAGAATACCATCAGACTCTAGTCTCCAGCTAGACATTTTGAGTGGAAGCTATCCATTACTATCTAAGCTACCAATTTAGACAAATAATATTATTTGCATGCTTAGCAAGCTTTTTTTTTAAATTCTTACATTGGCTTGTTATTTAGTTTTCCGGACACATTAAACCACTTTCAGCTCCAGCATGTGTATTTCTCCCCTGACACTCCATTTATATCATTTATTTGTTTGACCCCCCAAGTGCATTTATACATTTGCCATGCTTATGGGTTAATTAAAAAAAAAATTGTAATATTTTTTATTGGAATATTTTATACCTCTATAAATATCTTAGTGTGTTCACGTGGTAGTAAATTTGATAGGGCTTCACTACATTCTTATGCATCTTACAAATTACATCAATTGAATCAATTGTTCATGCGGTATGTTATCTGAATAACTTGAAGTTTTTATCTAACTTGATAAACGCATGTCAATGAAATGCCTTCAGTTGTTGCAGTTAAAGGTGTGCTAAAATGAAAGATAGAGCAATTAAAAGGCAGGCTAAGATTAGTTTCAGTAGCAATGTGTTAGTATATTCAATATATTTCAATGTTTTATGACATTTCAACCTGCAAAAAAAAAAAAAAAAGTAAAGTTGTTTTAATTAGTGACTACTTCATAATTTAGAAACTCACTTTGCTCAACACATTTCAAAGTCATTCATGGAAAGCTAAATGAAGAACATTTTAAATCCTTCATTTAAAAAAGAAAAAAATTCAAACATCTAAAAATCCTTAGTTATACAATAATATCAATGAAAAACTGTTGTAGAATATGGAATAGTGATTCTATTTTAAATTATCTTCATCTGCTCCAACCTGGGCACCAAAACCTGAATGTAATGTAAGTCTGATATGCGTAGTATTTGATACAAATATTTCAAAATTATGTATCAGATTGCCTGAGTGGTTGGGAGGGGGGGGGCAGGGCATGTGGAGTGAACAGGATGAAAACTCGTTTTTGTGTGGCAGGAAAAGGTCGCTCCGTGGTAATGCTGCTAAGCTCACATAGTTGGTGTGAGGCGACTGAATTCAGTTGAATCCCAGTAACATCAATGCTGCTTGGCACAGCCACTAAGGCTTTTTCTTAATTGATGGGATGAGAAGGGCTTTATGGGCTTTGGCTTGAATGTACAGGGGCTATCAAAGAATTAATCTCTGCTTTCTTGTATTATGGACTGTGATTTATATCATGACCGGTACTATTCTGACTGCCTATACAATCGGTGGTGGGACTCGGCTGTGGACTGACTCCACTAAATAGTTGTCCCATTAAACTGGCTGCCATACTGACATTTTAATAATTTTTACTGATGCTTCCTGGCTGTGGTGTTTGGTCTTGTTTTAAAATGCAGACAAGAGCAAATGCATGCTCTCAGTTTTCTTTAAAACCCTCTTTATTAAACGCTGCTTGTTTTACCATTTTGTTTCTTTAAGTCTCATCTCTACAGAATGTTGCACGTTACCTGTGTTAGCAATGTTTTGAAATGAATTATTCGTCCCCTTAAGTAGAAAATTACTTATCACATTTTTATTTTCAACACCTATCATATAAAAGGTAGATCGATTAGATTTAAATACGTGCAGTTAGAATGAAGTATACGGTACTTTGTGTGTGCTATGATGAGTGTAAATCCCCCCCCCCCTCCCTGGTTATGACTGGATTTACTTTACTTCTTTTGATGAGGTTATGCTTTTGGTTATTGTGGGGAAGGGGGAAAAAGTGTGTGTGTGGTGGGGAGGGGGGCAAGCGACAGTTGAGAAGAATCTTCCGTCTGAATCAGGATTACGTAAACAACTATTGTTCGTTTGAATAGTTTTTCGCCTTTTATTTGGTTAAAAGCCAGCAGGATTATCATGCTATGAGTACTTTTTTTTGGAAACCAAGTAAATGCTAAAATGACGCTGCCCTAATTGATAGGCTCTATGTGCATGTCAGTGTTGTGTCGAGGTGGAATGCTCTTTAATATTATTTTTTGGGGTTGATCTTATTATTGTCTTGTTTTCTGACGAAGGCTCTAAGCCGAAACGTCCAAATCTTTTGTCCTGTCAATGAATTCAAGTCTAGCCGACCTTGTTACACAACTTGAGTGCAGTCCACACCAATTATTATCATCTTTTATTGTTGTGTGTGGCTTAGGTCCTCTGCACTCATTAAAATATAAACACATGTTATTTATATTCATTCATCTTAGCCCGACTGATAATAAATGATATGAATACTGTAGTGGTTTTTTGAAGTGTGTGTGTGTGGTTTGGGGGGGGGGGTAGATTGATCTAAACATAAACTTTCCTAGTTTGTCTTATTCTAAACCTCCCAAGTTGGTCTTATTCTAAACCTCCCAAGTTGGTCTTATTCTAAACCTTCCTAGTTGGGATTATTCTGAACCTTCCTAGTTGGGATTATTCTGAACCTTCCTAGTTGGGATTATTCTGAACCTTCCTAGTTGGGATTATTCTGAACATTCCTGGTTGGGATTATTCTGAACCTTCCTAGTTGGGATTATTCTGAACCTTCCTAGTTGGGATTATTCTGAACCTTCCTAGTTGGGATTATTCTGAACCTTCCTAGTTGGGATTATTCTTAACCTTCCTAGTTGGGATTATTCTGAACCTTCCTAGTTTTAGGACAATAAAAAAAGTCGAATTATTACCAACCCGCCAACCTTGATAAAAAAAGACTGTAGTGGCGCACAGATAACACTAGGTTTTAAAATGGAAATGACACCAAAGGACTTGAAAATGTTAGTACTAAAAATTCTACTTCCTGGTGTTAGTAGTATGATGCGGACTTTGGATGGGCTTAAATATATGTCACCGCCGGCAATCAGCTGTATCGTTGTAGTGTTGTCCTACCAACCCTGTAGTGTACGAGTGCTTGTGAGTACGCGCTAACAGGTTAATTCTTCTTGACACCATTCCACCGCAACGCTTGGGGAGAGAGAGAAAAGGGGGGGGGGGGAGGGTGTGCGTGAGAAAGATAGAGGGAGCTGCTACTTATCATGTTTCAGACCTAAGGTAACAGAGATCAGAAGCCGTAGTTGGAGAATGAGAGGGGTGGGGGAGGGGAGAGAGAGAGAGAGAGAAAGGTGTTCAGTTTCACTTCTACACAGTAGCAGGGCTGGCTGCGTGGTAAGGGATCGAATCTCCTGTTATTTTGCAACAAGAAAATAATGATTATGAATAGGAACCCAGAATCTCGTACGGATTTCCACCTGTTTCTCTATCTCTATTAAATGGACATGTATTATTTGCTATAATAGAATTAAATGAAAAAATGGTCTGTTTAGTGCGCTGAAAGTCATTCCTAACTGTTACAATGGGGCATCCCTTACATAGTGTTGCCACTTGTAGTACTTCTCTGACTTGTTACCCTCCCGTTACCCAAGTGTTTGTACCAGACTCACGTGTCTGATCATTTCACCAGTGGTTCTCAAACCACATTATCCTAATTGTAGCTTTCAGTTTGTGCGTGAGTGCCTATTCACTCGTTAGCCATGGTTGACTGTTTGCAATGGAGTCAGTGTGTTATCGACAACTAACACTTAATATGTAGAATATAACATTCCAACTTCCAACGTGTTGCTTGATTTTGATTCTTAGTTTGCAACATTTAAGTATGACCACAACAAAGCGTTGGTACACGATACAAAGGTCCCTTCGTTATTAGATGGGCCTACTTCCTTTATGTTGGCTCGATGAAGAAAACACAACAGTTCAGTGCCATACTTCATCTTTACTTATATTATTGGTTAGTTGATCTGATAGATTTCTATTATCGAATTAACGTCGGAACATGTGAGTGTGGGCATTTAAATGTTGGTAGGAAATGCGTGTCGAGATTTCATATATATATATANCTTGATAAAAGGAAGTTTTGAGATGATGTGAGGCAATAGATTTCATTTCACCCCCAATACAACAGCTGACAACATACGAATTCCAACAACGGCTAATAAAAAAGGGTACACCGGACTTTTAAAAAAATATTCATATATTATTTCAGAAGTGTACAAAACGTCAGCTCTGTTAGGACCAGCTCATCGATTTCATATAAGCATTCGAAATGGTGCCAGTTGTATTTATATTAAAAGAAATTTCACAGTTCATGTTGTTTAGTAAATATATAATATATATATATATATATATTTACTAAACAACATGAACTGTGAAATTTCTTTTAATATAAATACAACTGGCACCATTTCGAATGCTTATATGAAATCGATGAGCTGGTCCTAACAGAGCTGACGTTTTGTACACTTCTGAAATAATATATGAATATTTTTTTAAAAGTCCGGTGTACCCTTTTTTATTAGCCGTTGTTGGAATTCGTATGTTGTCAGCTGTTGTATTGGGGGTGAAATGAAATCTATTGCCTCACATCATCTCAAAACTTCCTTTTATCAAGACTTCCTTTAATAACAGTTCAACTGTGTAAGAATAGATCACCATTTTCATAGTAATGAACACTACAGTTGCTACTTATTTTACTTCTCTTATTATTTTCGTGTTGCTATTTCACCTTCCCGTAAGCTTCCCATAAAGGTATAATGGTAAATGTCTATTAAGACATTGATAATTGATAAAAACATTGATAACTCATTATAACACAAACGCCCCAGGTAAAAAAAAATCGTTCAAATGACGTCATTGGCTACCCCATTTGCTCTAGATTCTAACGTATAGTTACAGATGTGGGGCAGCTGGTTCTAAAGACTT